CCCCCCCCCCCCCCCCTTTTCATCTCTCTGGAAATTCCAGTTTTTTGTTCAATACTTTTCTTTATTTTGTTATTTTTTTTTTGGCTTTTGAGACCCCCCTCCCCCTCCCCATTGGAATTTCCAAGAACCCTCCCAGGGGTGGGTATGGAGATTTTCTGGAATCATTAAATATTGTAGTCAGCATCATAGTTCTGCAATGCTTGCAGAATTTTAACCTAGTCATAGATTTTAATAATTGCATCTTTTAGTTAGGTTTTTATTCTTTTTAATCTTATGCAATTGTAAGCGCATTGAGAATTCTAAATGCACAATCAGAACCTTTTTATTATTATTATTATTATTATTATTATTATTATTATATAATTTTCTAGTCAAGGATTATATGCCAGTCTACAATGAACACAGAGTAACTAGCATAGCTCCATAATGCATAAAAACAGAGAGATAATAAATTATTGTCTGCCAACCCCAAAGTAAAAGTGTTTTTCCTCAATTTGTTTACCTTTCCTAACACAACCTCTTTAGTGTTCCGTTCTTTTGTCATCAACAGGAAGGTGCAAATAAGAAGCTTCTGTTGTAATGGGATCGTTGGCTGTTCCACGCCAGGACCTGCCACCAGACGAGATCCATAAACCTCTGCTACGACACTGGCAATTTGGGAGATTCCAACCTTTTTAGGCTTTTGTGGAGTTTCCATTCTTTTGCATGGAGATTCAGCTGATTGGGAAAAAATATTAACGGTAAGTAAAAAAGTAAAGTTGACAGTTCATTTTTTAAACTGACCAATCACTTTCAACAGACCAGACAAATAACACCATCGCCTGACAAACACTGTTCACTTGACTCTGAAGATGACTGCAGCTCAGGTTGTCAAAACATCAGTCACCAACAACAGTTCTTTTCAGAACTGCCCTCACCCAGACAATCACAATATACAAACTATTGTAAGCCAAACTCTAGAGTTAAGTATCCAAATCATTTGGATCAATGAAATTACCTTTTTTGACTGGTTGCAAAACCTGTTGTTTTCTTTCTCCAGATTCTAATACCTCTACTGCTCTCCTGAAAGCAAATTTTAAAGATTTGTCATCATCATCATCATCAGAAATATAATCTCAGGAAAACTTTTTAACCCAAATAATGAAAACCTTAATAATTAATTTCAATATATATCATGGGTCTAAAACAGTGCTGATGTAATTACTCAATTCTAGGAATCCTAAATTTGTAATCATTTAGTTAACCCCTGCTATTGTGGTGTTAACAGTTTGCCAGAACCCATTTATGCACCTGAGTGGAGAGAGACACTGAGAGAAAAGTGTCTTGCCTAAGAACCCAATAAATGCACCAACCAGTGCTTGAACGTAGACCACACGATCTTGACTCAAATACGCAAACCACCACTTACAGTAGTAGGTCTCTATTACATGTATATCTGTCAGAATCTGTGTCTACATTAATGTAGTTAGGTGGTAAAATTTGAAACTCTGTTAGATAATTTCTTATCTGTGTTTCTCTCATTCACCTAATCTCAACAGAACATTTTGTCTGAAAGACTTAGATCATAAAACTAGTCAGAACTATCAGATTAAGAAATGCAAGAATGTTGGGCACAGTTGTTTTCATTTGGTTACCTGCAGATGTCTAAAGCTTTCCTCATGTCGCCAGCCATGGCAGACACCTTTCTTGCACAGAACTGGACAGCTGCTGCGTCAAGAACGCTACTTCCTGCTTCAACCTTGAAACGAAATTTAAGAATATTCTGTTTACCTTTTTGCACGAAGCCTACAATTTACAAATCATAGAGCTGTTGGTTTCTAAGACGTTCACCAAGAGAATGGGTTGGGTGAAAGCTTGGAATAGTCTGTAGTATTTCTCCTGGGGGTGGGGGTCCCCCATATGAAAAGGATGGCCCAGTGCTCATCTACCCAGTGATATTTTTACCCCCCCCCCCATCTTATAAATAAATACAATTATAATACAACTTGCAGCTATCTGGTAATGACCATTCAATCATGGCTATGGGTGACAGAATCCCACCCTACAGCTAAGAGCTTTACATGTAGATGGCTTTTAACTTACCAAGGAAAGTCTGTCCTGTATAATTTTCACAATCTGCTCTCTTGTGTAAGGCGCAAAGTGAAGCAGTTCTGGTTTACCTTGTGATTCAAATATGAAATGTTGTTATAGTCAAGGCAATTGTTGTTAACTAAAGATATTTATACCCATAATTTCTTATTTTATTAATTAGTTCTGTCATTAAATGCTACACCATCAAATGAGGTCGAAACCTAATTGAAATCAAAACAAAAACCAGTTAAAATTGATTTACATGACTAAATAAAAATACTTGAATTACTTACATTTAGGTCTGGCTTGTAGTCGGGGAAGAATTCTATCTGTTAAATCCAAGGCATTTGCAATCCCTTGAAAAAAGTTCAGAATTAAGAATTTTTGTGGCTCAATTTGAATAAAAGTATGAAGAAAATTATTAGACGAATGGTAATGATGACTCCTACTTACCAATGAGAATAAGTTTGGATTTTGGCAAAGATGGCCATTCAAACATGGTGTAGAGAATTTCCTGGTGTTTTGATTCAAGTTGATCCATTTCATCCAATATAAGGATCCTATAATGAAATAAATTGCGAGATTAATTGTCAGGCATAACATTTAATCTACTTTAATGTCGCTTGGTACAGCTGATTTAATTTATGACATTTCTTTTACATTTCAGAGATCAACTTAATTGCATGCCACACCATTGTGTATGCTACATTATATGTGCCAAACCATTTTCACTGAAACTAGGTGTCTGGTAAAAAACTTCAAATGCGATAGGCTTTTTCACTTAACTGTTGAGAAATGTAAAAATTTTCAGTGTGGTTAATTTTCACTGAGGCTGACATAATTTGATACCCATATGAGGAAAGTTAGCAGTCTCTCAATAAACCTCCTACAAATCTCAGGTGCCAATTAAAGCTGTTTCCAGTTAAAACTTTGACGTACCCAGTACGTCGCATACTTGCTAGGCACCTGTGGGGCAAAAATCATGATAGGCACTCAAGATATTAAAGCAACAATAATCTATTCCATAGTACACTGGTATTTTTTATTACTTGAGAATGGTTACAGATTTAGGATTTGTTAACAGGATCATGTGTACTAAAGGCATTGGCAGTCGAGTGCCGATTGATACCCTTATTGACACACCATCGACATCTCAATCAACATCCCCATCAATACTTGGTCAACAGTTGCTCTACATCTCGGTCAACAATCGGTTGACAGTCACCTAATTTTCACAGACACGCCATCGAGTGTCGATCCATACCTATGTCTGTATGAGTCAGTCGACACTCTGCCAATCGACCAACTGACAATTAAGTGTTGATCAAGTGTCAATCGAGATGTCAATCGAGTGTCAATTTAGTATCAACCGAGTATTGATTGAGATGTCTCAACTGCAGATGCCTTTTGTGCACATTAATTACCATTTAAAGTACCTTGTGAGATTTGATGAAGAAAATTCCTCTTCCAAAAACTTCTGAGTGGCCTTTGCTGGACACTTGTCTTCACCCACTAACTCAACAGCTATTTTTTTGAAAATATCTTGCGGTTGTTTCAGTGCCATACAGTTTACGAAGATAACTTGGCTCTTCCTGATCTCAGTCTAAAGAAAATTAGACGTAACATAATATAAAATCCAGTCCTTGATGAGGTTATGAACATCTAGTTTCTCCTTACAATTTTAATGCATTGTAATGCAGACAGGCGATGAGAAGATAGGAAATCATCAACTACATGTAGGGGATATTGGTTGATGTAGTGTTCCTTCAAACTTTCAGAATATTACAATGAAACTTCTTCTCTAGACTAGGGAACAGTGGCCTTTGCAGGGAGGTTTTGAGAAGAGTAAATGGAGGGGGATTTATGCATAGCTGGAAAAGAAAGAACCCATGTTATAGGGAGTGAACTGATCTGCAATGATAAAATTATATTTACGTAATATAAGTTTTGCAAACTTTACCGCAAAGCAAAGGTCTCTTTACCTTCATCTCAAGCATTATCTTGGTCAAACAAGCTGTTTTTCCTGTGCCCGGAGCTCCTGATATGTAGAGACTTCCTGGCTTTCCCTTCGGCAAATGATTCTGCAGAAAACTTCTGATTTCTGTGATCTCTTTCTCACGACACAGCAAGTTGTCAGGGTGTGAAGAATGAAGAACTCTTCTCACCGTGGAGTATTGATGGCCTGAAAGGACAACAACAGTAATATTCACTCTGAATGGCTAAAAGTGATTATTATTTACTAGGTAAATTAATCAAGGATAGGTTTGCTTCATTGCTGAGCAATCTAATTATCATTCAATGCCATAGTCAAATAAAGGTGTTTCTGACATTTTATCATTTACTATTATACCAGTAGGCTTGTGGCTGTGCTAGAAATAAAAACTGTGTTGTTTACCATCTTGACGAGCAAGTGCAAGCATTTGCTTTGCTTCTGAAGTCTTTGTATCACTGGCAGGCACATCCTTACATCTTCCTTGTTTTTCTCTTGTCTTTCCCTTTGGTGTTTCACGATCTTGAATTTGAAAGAAATCAAAAGTGTGAATTGAAATTAATATTAATAATTGTCAATAAATGCTAACTGCAATGCAAGTCATTGCATTACCACTCATTAGGAATTCTCATTAGGATGTTGTCTCTGGTGTCTTTCCGACAACTTTCCAATGTGAAGTTCCAGAAAATATCCATACTCCTGCACAGAAGGGATTGGACTTTGCTGAAGGGTAAGGTTTAAGACAAAAACACTTAAAGACATGTATCAAGCCTAGTTGGAATTTCCAGATGGGTGGGTTAGGGGGAGGCCTTCCTCGTGGGAGGTATGGATATTTTCTGGAACTTACACAATTATCATTCTTTAGTAGGCACTCAGCTGTGTTCTGTTGGAAATCTGTGAATCTGATTGGTTCTCCCAGGGTTTTCTAAATAATTTTCCATGTTACTGTGCGTCTGTTCAGTAGTAGCTCACAGATGACACAACAATGTGGTGAGATCAAAAAATGGCACACAAGATGTAGGTGAATGCGTCACTGATGTTCCCTACTACATTTTAATGTCATCTGTGATCCATTAATGAACAGATGCGTGGCAACATGAAATCTATTTGTTAAATTGAAAATGAAGAGAGAACCTGCGTGCATGAACTCCTCTTCGCCCTCTTAAGATTTCAATTGGTCAATTAAACAGAAGCAATCAGAAAGCTGTTGTAGAGAACCAGTCAAAAGTTTGAGTGTTCAATTAGCATAGTGCCCATGCTTGTAAACTATAACAACCAACTTCATAAACTGCTTTACAATGATTCAATTAAGTAGATTATGACAGCTTAAGGATCCGGTACCTCAGAGAAGACATCATCATTGAAAACCAAATTCTCCAAAAAAAAATTACAATAACTGTGTGGTAAACATTAAAGAGAAGTTCAATATTGGTCTGGAGTAACATACATGTACCATCCTGTTCCGCAAATGATAGCCTCTGTTTAGGATCGGAGTTCTCTGTGTCACTGGAGGCCACATCTTCGGCTTTTCCCCTGTTGTTCTTTCTCTTCTTTGGAGATACAGTAGCTGGCGTTTGACAAGCTGAAACCAAAAAGATCAGTAGTTTTCAGCGCGCCAGGGCATTTGGACGACCGTTGGAATTGGACAATTGAATCACTGTAAAGATCTAGCTAGACCTACAATCTCCGGGACAAGACATTGCCATAAACGTGGTCAGAATTCAGTTTAATACGTGTCCTATAGTAAGTGAAATTATGCTTCGCGAGTAATTGAAGTCCCAAATAAAGAGCTATAAAGCAAAGGTTGTGAAAGTTAACAATCAAACTCAAAGTCTCGTAGGAGCCGAGTATAACGCAATCTTTGTGGATTAATTACGCCAGATATCGATGGAAGTAATAGAAGGAATAAAATACCGACAAAGAAGGCTTCGTGTAGTTATGAGAAGCCACAAGAGCTAAGGGAATGCATGTCAGATTTTGTTATTATGAGTGGTCATAGCTTTTGTGTCGACAAACCCGATGTTTGCATACGAATGAGCCGACAAATTAACCTAATCGAATTACACAGTTACACTAGTCGATGGAGAAATTTCGCCGCCAAATCGATTTTTTTGACTGTGAATTGTAGAAAAAGCTGCTACAGTACTACAGTTTCAACGATCTCGCAATTTTTCCTGGCGAGTTCAACATGTACTATATTGTTGCGCGGGAAATATACTTATTCTTTATAGTAGCCTGTGAGATTAAAAGGCTGCTGTATGTATAGATTTCATGATAAAAAATTCTTGAAAGGTAAAGTTGTGGAAAATTGCCGCATTCGTACAAAACTTTTTCTACATTTGAGGGTGAACTGAAGTGGAATAGAGAAAGGAAAATGTCTTCAGCTTACCTTTCACAGGATCTTGTCGCTTTCGAGGCGAGATCGAACAAGCTCGAGTCGGCTTGCTTTGACTGGTCTCGATCGCTCCTTCGGTGTCCTTTTGCTGCAATCGAGTCTTGCGACAACGAAATTCGATTTGCTTCTGGCTACTGCGAGTAACTCGAGGCATCTTGGAAGAGGGATAAGAAGCTAAAACTCTTGATTATAATATCCGAACGATCAAACGATGAATGAGGTCGGGAACTTTGCATAAGAAATGAATGAAAGCATCATGGACCTGAATATTCGCGCGAAAATCACTCAGCCAATCAAGGAGCAATATAGGATGACGCGCCGCGGGAAAATATTCTCTGGTCAGCGATGTACTCTTAGAAAGCAGCTGACGGGCGCCATTTTGTTCCGAAAAAAACCTTCATAAGGTGAAGAAAGGAAGAAGGCTTTTAATTGAAATCAAACATCTGTGAACTCACAGTTTGCACCGGTGGATATAAACAATGGCGGACGAGATCGAAGGACTGAAGGCTAAGATTAAAGACCTCGAGACAGCGCTAGAAACAGAACGAAAACGAAAGGGGCCGATGAGGGAAAAAATTCAGGAGATGAGTTCGGAGGTTGTAGATAGCAATCCATATAGGTAAGGCAGTTAAATGATAGTTGAAAGGTTTCTCGATGGAGTAGGGGTAGACTATTCGAAGGCAATTGAAATGTGATAAAGGAGCAACCACTGCGGTCATAATGCTTTCAATCCATGGCGTTATGTTGTTGTTTAGAATTTAATATGCGGGACCCCTGTGTTTGATCATGTAAAGCTCAGAGAGCTTGAAAAAAACAATGCATTCGTTGCAGCATTTTGGTAATGAATTACCTTCTTGAACACGTATTTAAAAACAAATCAGTCAAGAAAAGCCCTTCCCACCGCTAGCGTGAATTTATTGTTAAATAAAGAGCGTAACACACGGTGTAACCTTTTTGGCAATGTGTTCAAGACAGTAAACTTAAATAATTTTGATGATTTTGAGTAAACGCTTAAAAGTGAAGGCGTAACGCAGGATCAATATGTTTTTTTCTCGATCGGGTTTGGCCGGCTGGTCGAGCTTTCAGCGCGTTCTTGTTAATGCTTTGTCTTCTTGCTTCAGGGCATCCTCAAAGCAGAAAATTTTTCATATTGAAGTTACTTGTAAATTTGTTTTTTCCTGAGATAAAAATATTATTAGCGATTCATAAAGTTTTTAAAATAGTCGTAGTTGCGATCAAATTGAACGGTTGTTGTTATTGCCTATAACTTAATATTCTCTGATCTTTTGAATCTTACTCAGTCACTGACTGATTTTTATAAGGAACACAGAAATTTATCTCTATGTAAAGCCATTGATACAATTTTCTTAAAATTGCTTACAAGTTATGTATAAAACATGTTACCTATACAAAGTTTCAAAATTATGTTCATTTGTCAATGATTTAGTAATTTTATGTTGATGGTTTTCCTTCCTAAGGCAAACAATACAACTTCAGAATTCATAGCAGTCATGTTGTGTTTTGTCATCTAATTGACATAATATAAAACTGTATACCAGTTTACGAATGTTTGTTAATCTTACAGTCTACAGCGATCATATTTGTGGCAAGTAAAAGGGTAGACATGCCTGATATATTTTTTTAATGATTTCATTTTGCCTGAAACACTGTTAGAATTACATCCTTTTCATATTTATTCGTGTTGTCAACATGAACCAGCTGCATGCAAAGTCAGGGATACCTAAAATGAATTTCAAAATTTTTGCAAAACGTGTCTTCTGCAAAAAATGTATGTTACCAAAAACGAAAGTCTATACTGTGCTTGAAAAAATGTTTTCAAGTTCTCCTAATTCATGAAGATGATTGAGTTCTGCAAAGTGTTACACTTCCAAAATTGTGAGATTAAGTTGCCGTGAAAATTTCATGCAATAAGATATGTATTGATTTCATCTTCTCTATTGAGTAATGGGGTCATAACATGAGTTTACTTTGGCTTGAGTGTTCTTTTCAAATTTTCCACTTCTTGCACTTGCCTGCAGCATTTCTTGAGGGCAGCATCCTATAATTTTTTGAATATACTAGTTCAAACGTTTTCCTGCTTTCTGGAAAATGGTACAAACGGAGCATACAGCATCTGCATTAGAATCTGAATCTAGATGTTCCTGTGAGGATTGATTTCTGAAGTGTTTGAACACAGACCTTAACCCATTGATGCCCGTGCCGGCTGTAACTGGCTGTGACGAGCATTGCCCTTTGTTCCACTTCTGATGTCATCAGGTTTGACCAAAATTGGCATCATCTATACTCAAGTTCTGTAGGAGGAAAAGATCTTTCCAATTATGCCCAGATCAAAGTGATTGGGTCAATGGGACTTGAAATATGTTTGGAATTGCTCAGAAATTTAAGTGAAAAACTTGGAGCATAATTTCCTTTGACTACACTTGGCTACAGGTACTCCGTGGTAAGAATTGCCCTTCTCGATGATGCTTTCTTGGGACTTTTTGAACTGGAAGCAAACCCAGTAGAAGGCCAATCACTGCAGCAAAAAGATAAGAAAAGGAGACAAAAGAAAGGCAAAAAGAAAATTAAAAAAACGAAAGCTTTAAGACGTAGGTCACTTTCTCACATCCAAGAAAAAAATTTTGATTTCTGCGCTTGCCTGAGCAAAGATGTCATAAAACACGATGTTAATTGGAAGGAAGGCACGTTGTCATGTTGTAAATGCCTTTTTGAGTAGATTGCTGCTAATTTAACTCATATCCAGGCTGAAAAGTTTTAATTTTTAATTTTTTTAATTTTTGCCAAATAGCTCTGGGAGTCAATTGGTTAATATACTTAAGAATTGGCAAAGATTTAAATTTTTTTGATTTTATGGACGTAGATTATCTAAGAGTTGTCTAGTTGCATTAAAGTGAGTTATGAATTTTGAGCAATTAGATTAATTTCTATGCAGAAGTTTTTCTCAAAATCTTAATCTCCTATGCAGCCAGCCTCTCTCCACCCTGGAGGTGATAAATGAGTACCAGCCAATTTAAAGGAGCTCAGTTATGGCAACTTGGAAATAGTAGTTAATTAAGATAGAAAAAACCCAAAGAGATGATAGTAAACCATAAAGGAACAAGGATGGTCGAGGATGGAGAAGAGTAACACAGATTACAAATGACAAACTTTAAAAATTTAGGCTAAACTTTTTAAGATGCAATACCATGATGTAGCTCCTTTTTGTGGGTAGGTCCGTGATGTTAGCATCCATCCATGTGCTTCATAGGACATGTACAGTAACCTGTGATAAGTAATATTAATTAAAAACAATGATATGACGAGCCATTGGTATGAACCAAATAATCATTGTTTGTTTGCTTTTTCTGTCAGTCGTTTGATGGCACTGAAGAGAATGGGAATAGTCGACAACTATCAGGTGAAGTGCTATTCAATGTGATTAGTTTTGACTAATTTCTAGGTAGCTCTCGTAAGTGCCGAGAAATGCCTACCGTTTCAAAAAGGCTCTGCCAGCAAGTCATATGTCACACCCTCACGTTTGGTGACCCTGGTAATACGATGTAGCTGAGTGACGATGGCGAAAGGCGAGCTTCCAGGGCCTTTAAATATCTGGTACCTGTGGTTAGGAGAAGGACACCCCGACAGAAAATCCCTGGTCCTCCAGGTTGGGGGTTGAGCATGGGGCCAATCACCCCATCCCGTAAAAGCAAGGTGATTAGGGAAACCGGAAATTGATGTCAAGGCCACTCTTTCTTTAAAAAAAAAAAAATCCGGCCCTATCCCCCACTCGGGGGCAAGGAACTAAGCATTAGTCTGTGGAGGAAGCCATTCACAGGGCAGGTAGTTATCAGGGGGAAAAATTCCTCAAGGTCTGGGAAAAGTCAGGGAACTTGATTTTGAATAAAAGGACGGACATAATTTTTTAATGAAAATCAGAGAAAATTGAAATTATTTAACATGGCTCGTCTAATACCATTGAAGGCTTGAAGAAACATGTTGGGTCAATGTGATCTCAACGATGTTTTTCCTTAGTGGAGAAGGAAAATTTGTCGAAAACTTATCAAAGGGTGACCGTAAAGGGAGGCAAGAAGCCACAAGTATATATCTGACATGTTGACAGTATTTATTTGGTTGAGGAAATTTCATTTTTGTGTGGGAAAATTCAGGGAATTGTGAAAATGTCTGTGGCAACCATGCATTCAAAGATTCATAGCTCTTCAGCAATGCTTTCATGTGATATCTCTATTTGTTATGCTGAACAAGCTTGCTGACCAAAAATGGTTAGTGCTCAGACTCTGGATTAAGTGGTCCAGGTTTGAGTCCTGGCCAGGATCACTGCATTGTGTTCTTGGGCAAGACCCTTTACTCTCTCAGTACCCCTCTCCACCCAGTTGTAGAAATGAAATGGATACCAGTGAATTTAATGTTAGAGGGCTTGGGAGGGGGTTGGATTGGNCAGTAACCCATCCGGTGGGGAGTAGACATACTGTTAGCCTCTTCACAACACTAAAAGTGCACCAGCCTGAGTAGCCACAAGGTGCTTTTTGTTTGCAATACAGTATTTAATAGTTTTCTCAAATTTGAATTTACATACTAGAGAATTCGTGACTACACAGTGGTGATTGTGGGTGTAGGTGGAGTTGGTAGTGTTACAGCAGAAATGTTGACAAGATGCGGCATAGGAAAGGTAACACACCGTTAACATTTTTTAAAAAGTATTTGTAGTGAACCATTCAAATCTTACATATATATACATGTACTAAAAACATAAAGGGATGCTCAGCATATGCCTGTGGTGTCATTGGAGTGCAACAAATTATGTTTCAGTCAAATGATATAGTACATCAAAACCTGTTGAAAATGTTTTTGATGTGTAATGTTCACATGTATGTGCTATAAATAATAATAACACCTCTTGATTGCATCTGGTTACCTCTCTTTATTTCTAGGGTGTACAAAATTGTTTACTGGTGTTATATATGTAGGGCAATATTCTGTCATACATGTAGGGCAATATGTATATATTTTGCTCCTGGCTAATAATTTTTTTCTCTTTCACAGCTGTTACTTTTTGATTATGATAAAGTGGAACTTGCAAACATGAACAGGTAAACAGCTGCACACTTGAATCTATTGAAATTTATCTTATAATATGTAGATCATTTCTGACAGCAAGGGCACTAACAAATAATACATGTATACCATTAGGTTTCATTTGATAATTGTATGTAAAATCCATATAGACTGATTTTTGAGTGATTTATGAGTGGTGTAGCTGCCCAGGCTATTGAGCCCGGGCTACAGTGGAACCTGTATCAAGTAGACCCTCTGTTAAGAGGACACCAGTATCGTTCCCTCAATTTTCTTCCCACATTTACTTTAAAACTGACCTGCGTTCAGCAGACACCTCTATTAAGTGGATGCAACACCAATATTAAGCCATTTTGTTGCACAAAACCTGCAGTGCATTATTTTTTAAGCCGACACTTCAAGGGCTTTTTACTTCTAAGAGCAGTCTCAGACATTCTTAAAATAAACATTGTTCAGCAATGTCATTTTAAAGCTAAGTAGAATATTCTAGATTGATGCATTGACTGACTGGACATTGCACTATGAGCAGTCTTTGATCTTACTCTGTGTCCTTTCTATGACCCCAGTTTTTACGAATTTCTCTGCACCTTGTTTTTATAAACTTGTTACAGTTAAAAAATACTGATTGGACATTTGATTATCAATATCCTGCAATCAGACATCATTTTTTTCTTTATTTTAACTGCCAAAGATAAAAGAAGAGAGCATAGAGGGAAAGATTGCAGGTTAAATTATGTATTGGTATGCAATGAAATGTAGTTATCATTCAATAAATGTGATGATTTCAAAAGGGTCAATAATTAACTATTGTTGCACAATATATCTGAACCTGTTTAAAGAGGACACCCTGTATTAAACGGACACAAGTACTTGGGGATCCCAAGAGTGTCTGCTTAATGCAGGTTTCACTGTATTTGTACTTTACAATGTTGGTTCTAGCCACTAATAGATGACATTTTTTTTTTAATTACTCAACCCTTAAAAGAAGAATTTGAAGTGCTGTTGTGTGATACTTTTTATGTACATGTAGGTTGTTCTTTCGTCCTGATCAATCTGGTATGAGTAAAGTAGAAGCTGCAGTAAACACATTACGGTGAGAACTTGAGATTGTTTACTCCCCAGAATAGCATAAAAATTGTCTTTAAACCATTATTCATGCTTTGTTGTTTTGAGATAATTAAAAATCCGCAGAAATGATATACTGATTGACTGAGAATGCTGTTGCTGCATCACTTGGATTGGTAGATGCCTATATCGTACATTTGACTTCTATATGGGCATGTACCTTCTAGTAAATCACATGTCTGACTGCGAGTTCATTTACTGACTTTGCTATGTGTAAAACTATTTAAAAAACACTCCTCACTCAGTTATTTGACAGCACTTACAAGTAAGGGGTGTAGGAAATTCTCCCATGCTTTACCCCTCCCTCCCATAGAAGTTTTCTTGAATCCCTTCCAACTCCCTTCCAGAATTTCCTGTTACTCATGTAGCATCATACTTTCATTTTAACATTTTGGCATTTGAGACCCCCACCCCCTTGGGATTACCAATAAACCTTCCATGGAGTAGTGATCAATGGATATTTTCTGGAACTTCATTGTCAAAACGAGTTTCACCTGTTGTGCTTTTTGATAGTCAAGTCTTGTTATGTGGCTTTGGTTGTGATGGTCACTTGGTAGTTTGTTGTGTTGATATCTTTTTTTTTGGAATTGTTCCTTTAGAGATATTAATCCTGATGTAGAATTTGAAGCTTATAACTACGACATTACATTACTGGAAAATTTTAAGCACTTCTTATGTAGAATAAGGTAAGCAAAGCAATTAATAATATCCAGTTGAACCCTGCCTTAAGACCACTCTGTTGAAACAACCTGCTCATTAGTATGGCCATTTTTTGTGGCCTTCGCTTTAACCCTGGTGTTTTGTGGAGGTGTCTTCACCCTATCTAAACTGTTGTACTTGTATATACTTCTTAACTGTTATTGTTAGAAATAAAAAAATGACGATGATGATGTTTGTAATGGAATATTGTTACAAACTGGAGTTGATTGTATAAGTGTGATCTTCTTTACCAAAGTGCACACAGTAGTTATAAGGGACAGATTCTATGAGGCTTCACCTTTCAAAGAATAAAATTTATTCATTTATTTATTTATAACTTAATGACTTTTTTGCCATCTTTTAGCCATGGTGGAAAAGATGAAAAAACAGTTGACCTGGTATTAAGTTGTGTGGATAACTTTGAAGCAAGAATGGCAATAAATACAGTAAGTAAATAATGCTGCACTGACTGTCTTTTCCGTTTCCTGAAAGTTGAAATTATGCATTGCATATTGCACGTTTCGTCATGTTAAATATGCTCTATATTCTTATTGAGCATTCATAACTCTCAACCAACAAGGGCTGAGGAATTCTCTTCTGATAAAACATACAAAATTCATTTAATTTTCTGCTTTTTGTCAGGCATGTAATGAGTTGAATCAACCTTGGATAGAATCTGGTGTAAGTGAGAATGCAGTGTCTGGTCATATTCAGTTTGTCATTCCAGGAAAAACGGCCTGTTTTGCGGTAAGTCTGTCACCTCTCTGAAGCATTCACGAGTAAATTTTGTAAGCTGAGTTCATTACCCATTATAAGTCTTTTTTGTAATGTACCTAACCAACTAAAGAGAGTTGGTCAACTGTTATATTAGCAACAGATTCTTCTAAGGGCTGAAAGGAGCTCTGATCAATGACAGAAATAAAATACCCTTGAAGTTTACAAATAGGATTCCTCACTGGTCAATTTGTCCAGTGCCCAGTTCATAATGAAACCCTTGGGTATGACAGAAACCCGAACTAATTTAAATTTATTGCTCTGACCAGTCAAAACAATTGCATTTAAACATGTCCTTTTTCCTGTTTGTAGTGTGCCCCACCTTTGGTTGTGGCTTCCAATATTGACGAGAGAACACTCAAGAGAGAAGGTGTGTGTGCAGCATCTCTTCCCACAACAATGGGAATTGTGGCAGGATTTCTTGTTCAAAATACTCTGAAGTGAGTTGATAAAGGGTTTCTTGTTACTGTACTTTATCCTTAAATGTGTTGGTAATGCTGAAGCCTTATACAGTGGAATTCCAATTTTTCAAACCTCCATGGGAAACAGAAATTGGTTNTACTATCTAGTCTTTTTGGTGTGATCATCAGATTTTCAGTAATTTACAAACGTACAAGTTTTTCAATTACCTGTACTTACAACCAATTAGACTGCAGCATTTGCATCGGTGTACTTTTCTGGAAGAATTCATTACAACTAATTTTATTTAGTACTCAACAGATTTTTCGGGAAGACCTTACTAGCCACTTTATCATCCATTCCGTCTGAACCGTAAGGTTTGACTTGACCTCTTTTGCTCAAATTTGTCAGCAGATTTCACAAGAGATCAGCAGCGAAGGACAAATATCAGCAGATGATGAACTAAGTGTAGAAGATCTGATGAAAAAGCTCAAAAGCATATAGACTATCAGAGTGAAACAGTTATAAAGTTAAAACTAGCAGCATCCAAAATGTTATTTCATGACTGATGTAAGATTCACATCAATAGAATATACATGATGTTCATAATGTAACAGACATCACGTGACATACATTGTGTGATAGACATTGCGTGACATGTATTGCGTGACTTCCAGTAGTAAGAAGTGTCATACTGGAAATGTTAATTGCATCAGTTTTGAATTCTGCGTCAGTGAGGCAAACATACTTAGCTTGCAAGCTGAGCATTTCATGCACTCTCTACTACATTTCATTGAAAACATGGTGTACTTTCATCTTTATTAACGGGAACATTCTAACTCTTTCGTTTATGGATGAAACCATAGTGTGTGACCATTCATATGAAAGCTACTGAAGAGCACATTCATGTGGTACTGTTTATTATGCTGTACAAGGTGGTTCTAACTTTTTAAGTCTGTGGATAAAACCCTCGTGTGTGACCATTCAAATGAAAGCTATTGAGCAGTACTTTCATGTGGTACTGTTTATTATGCTGTACAAGGTGGTTCTAACTTTTAAGTCAGTTGATGAACCCTAGTGTGTGACCAATCAAATGAAAGCTACTGAGAGTACTTTCATGTGGTACTGTTTGTTATGCTGTACAGGGTGGTTCTAACTTTTGAGTCTGT